GTAGATGTGTTATTATAGCCTAATTGTGTTATGCAATGTTGAGAAAAACTATAAAAGAAAGCTTGCAATAAACAGAATTCGGATTCAGCCTGCAACCACAGTGGTCGTGTGCTTTATCTGCTCCGCATGGAACCCCACACAATACGTCTCACACCTGTAGTTTGGACCGGGGGAAATTCAGCTATTATGAACATTTCACTAATTCAGAGGCAATAAGCCCATGAAAGCCCCCCCACCATTGCAGTGACATGCATGGCCATTTGCTGGGTGGGCACTGAATGGAGACTCAGCGATTTTAACAGCGGAACCCCTGCTCTCCTCTGCGATGCAGGCTGCAGCAATGGTTCCAGCTTCGTTTCCTGTCACTGCTTCCATAACACGTGTGGACAGTTGAAAATCCAGGACCCAGCGTAGGGGGGCTTACAAGTTATGGCACATCGGTCCTCCTGTCTGGAAGCAGAGAAGCCAACCCCAAAGGGAGAAAAGATGGGAGTGACAGGAAATACTGAACTTATAGCTTGTGGTAGACAACAGAAGGGAAGGCTCCTGTATCACCCATTGTCCTCAGACATCTCAGAATCACCATCAGGATCACAGGGCTGAGGCTACAGAGTGAGCCAATTGTGGCCACCACTGGCCAACAGATTCCCAATAGGCCAATTCTGGATTTCACTAGGTAGGGGATACCATAGGTTGATTCTGGGTGTCACTAGGTGGGTGACACCCAAAGGGTCAGCTCTCAGCCCCAGAGGGTAAAGGACATAAGTTGGCTCCACCAGAAAGGGTGCATTATGGGTCACCTCTAGATGTTGATACATAAGGGATACACAATAGTTCTGCTTGCGTGGTGCTCAGATCGGATCAATCTTGCCTGCGGAGAGTCTGTGCTTCACACGTGCTTGGCCTAAACAGGTAGCTTCCAAAATCAGACCAGCGCCTTCCCTTTTCTCTCCCAGGCATGACTGGGGCTTGTCTCCAAAGCTGTTCAGGGTGGGTGAGGACAAAGGAAATAGCTGCTCTAAGCAGTTAGAATAACAAAGGGACTGTGACTGTGATCCTGGTACTTAGCTGATGGATGCTGTTACACACCTACAGCAGGAAGCTGTAGTTCTGGAGCTGGGTGTGAGACGCCTTTTATCTCTGCAACTCTGACCCCCATTGCACCTGCAGAAAATGGGGCCTACGTCTCAGAAGTGCTGATGTCAATGGGAGCTGGAGGTGCTTCAGCACCTTTGCAAATTAGGCCTGTAGTTATCTCCAGGCACCACTTGCTGGGTCAGACCTGTATGGATGGTGTGTGAATTAGACTGCAAGTCCCTGGAGGCTGAGGCCAGGTCTTCTTCTGTGTATGTACAGCACCAATCATGCTGTTAGCATTCAACAAACATTAACATTTATTCGACATTGGTGAGGCCTCATCGGGAATACTGTGTCCAGTTTTGGGCCCCACACTACAAGAAGGAGGTGGAAAAATTGGAAAGAGTCCAGCGGAGGGCAACAAAAATGATTAGGGGTCTGGAGCACATGACTTATGAGGAGAGGCTGAGGGAACTGGGATTGTTTAGTCTCCAGAAGAGAAGAATAAGGGGGGGATTTGATAGCAGCCTTCAACTACCTGAAGGGGGATTCCAAAGAGGATGGAGCTCGGCTGTTCTCAGTGGTACCAGGTGACAGAACAAGGAGCAATGGTCTCAAGTTGCAGTGGGGGAGGTCCAGGTTGGATATTAGGAAAAACTATTTCACTAGGAGGGTGGTGAAGCACTGGAATGCGTTACCTAGGGAGGTGGTGGAGTCTCCTTCCTTGGAGGTTTTTAAGGCCCGGCTTGACAAAGCCCTGGCTGGGATGATTTAGTTGGGAATTGGTCCTGCTTTGAGCAGGGGGTTGGACTAGATGACCTCTTGAGGTCCCTTCCAACCCTGCTATTCTATGATTCTATGAACAGTAGCAAAGCCAAGTGGGAGTAGAAATGACCAACAATCGCTTTGCCAGGCCTCCGGCGGAGAAGATGGTACATTTCCACATGCGGCAGATCACTCCTGCAGACAGCATTGTTGTTTGGGCAGCACTGGTGGAAGTGGCCTGGGGCAGATCTCCCAAGGCGCACACAAACAGGGCTGCTCTTTGCACTTTATGTCTGTTCCTGGTTTGCAGCAGATGACATTTGGTTTTTGCCAGGACTCTAGAGTGGAACCAAGCACAGGCCTGATCATGGGAGGTGCTGACTCCCACTGACTTCAGAGGGTTAAAGATGCCAGCGCTCTGCTGAATCAGGCCCATAGGGAGGTCTCTTTTCTGTCTGTTGTTGACGATTCTCCAGCTGATCCCCCGTGCCCATTTCCAGAGCCTTGAATGGAACCTAGAGCTTGGCGGTTTCCCTACAGAGTATCTGTCAGCAGCTGGCATTTCCCAAGCAAACACAGCTGCACTTTTCTCCTCAAGGGCCTAATCCAAAGCCCCCTGAAGTCAGTGAACAGCGTCCCCCTGGACAGACTTCAATGGGCTTTGGATCAGAACCTTGGTTATTTTTTATTCCTGCTTTTTAGTTACTACAGGTTTCTACTCTGACCTTTTTTGGACACATGAGTAGGAAAAGAAAAGACACAAACCCAACAGACGCAGCAGTTAGCATTAGCCACTGAGTTAGCAATCAGTGTGCCCGGAATTGCATAAGGAAAGGAAGCCAGGGCTTCCCGGAAGATGCTGTGAAATATCAGTTACCTTCATTGGACTCACCACCTCCCCAGCCCCAACCACTGCACTCAGAGCCGCTAGCTGGGGAAGTCACTGTGACGTGGCAGGCTTTCATCTTCTCTGCTAACAGCAAAACGCAGCTACTACAATTATCATGAACAAGGAGCTCACTGAGTTCAGAAAGGCTGTCTCCACAGGGCCCTGCAGGCTGCATGGTACCAGCTGATGCAGAGCTCAGCCACTCACATAGGGATCCCTCCCTTAGCTCTTCACTTTTTCCTTTGTGAAATAAGCTCTAAACCAAGTGGGCCCCTCCCTATCTGCAGGTCTAAAACCTCCCCCAGGTGCCCACAGTCTGCAGCATGGTGGAAACAGCTGACTAATTAGGGCTTGTCTAAACACAGAGGTTGCACTGGTTTTACTAAAAGGAGGATGCTAACCTGGCCTAACTCTGCGTGAACCTGGCCTGTGTTGGTTTGATTTGTACCTGTTACCTCACAGACATAAGCTGAACTGATATAAGCCAATGTCATAGTGTTCACACACAGGGCTGCATCGCTTTAGCATCACACCCTTAGTTAAATGGGTGCAACATTGTGTGTAGACCAGAGGGAGAAATATACCAAGAGCTGGAACTTCTATTAACAAACTGACCCAGAGGGCACTGCTAGTACTAGGGGCTAATGCTGGCATACACTGTACTGAACCGATGGGCACTGCCTGGCTGGGCATAACATGACAGGAAAGCTCTGTACTCATTAAAGGGCTTTAGATCCCCCACCTTCCCTTTCCTCATTCAGGTCCCTCCCAGAAACTCTGCTGTCTCACAAGAAGTAATCATAGAAAACAAAAGAAGCCTAACTTAATAGCACCCAGTGTGGGCTTATCGTTAACTTCCCCGCACCCTCTCCCCTCCCCACACTGGTTAGGCTCTTTATGACCCTCGCTTGTCTCAGGTTTGACTTTGGGACTGGGGCTGACTCTGCGCGTTGCTGCGCAGGGCTTAGCACACAGCTTGTTGCTGAGAAATAATAGATCACAATAATAACATGGCCAGTGCCTGAGCATGGCATCCGCCGTGCTGATGTAATGGGCATTGCCAGTCCAGCTGGGCTCCATTCTGCAGCGCTGCAGTTTTCCCTTTGTACCCGCTTCCTCAACAGATGGTGCTAAGACATTAAACCTGCCCTTGACCCCACTATCGTTCCTTCTCCCTTCAGGAAGCATGGCAAAAACTCACCATATACTCCATGTTGGCAGCTGGCGGAGACACCTGTGCCCGTACTTGGTTGTGGTAGTCCAAAAGAGCGCTCATGTCCCGCGGAGAGATGTATCGCTTTCGGCGACTCCTCGGCACCCCGAGGCCGGACACCAAGCCAGCCTGCGGGCTGCTGGAGGGGTGCAGGAGCTCGGTGGCATTGGGCAGCACAAAAGAGGTTGATTTCGGTATAATCCAGAAGACCAAGCCAGTGAAATACAGGTGCATGTGCAGTAAAGTCATTTTAGCTTTTTTTTTTTTGCAACTGTCTACTTTCAAATGAAACAAAACAAAAAAATAAGGCAAATCTTCTTCCTTCTGATGGTGTATCTAAAAAGGGAGACAATAGAGGCACAGTTTATTTTTGCATTTCACATGAAAATTCCACCGCCCCAAAGATCTTGGAAATAGGTTTTCCAGGTTGAAAAACAAAACAAAAATTAAACACTGACAGATGCTTTCCCACAAACAAACTGAATTAAAAAAGAAGGTATCTTTCATCAGCTGGATTTCCTGCTCATATATAAGAGCAAATTCCCTGGAACCCGCTGTGAAATCTGCAGAAAGTTTTTTTTTTTTAATTTAAGTGCAAAAACTTCCCCAAATTTTTCACTTTTCACAAACCCAGGCTCATTAATTACATGATGTTACATTAGCTTAAGGTTCCAGCCCCTCTGATTTCACAGGCTTTTGGTACGTTGAGCAAATCCCTCAAAAAAAAAAAAAACCAACCCTGAAACCTTACTCAGATAAAGAAACAAACGGCAAGTTCTAAAAGGATCAGTGAGAGAGTCTAAATAATCTTTTTCTTTGGGGAAGCAAAATCAACCACTTCAAAACCGAGATTTAAAAAAATCTTTCTTTTTTTTTAGTAGATGCACCTTCTCACATCAGTGAAAGACATTCCCCAAAGAAGCTGAGAGGACATTTCCCAGACTACATACCTTGAGGACTGAGCCAAGAACAGCTGAGAAATGTTAGCTGCTGCAGCAACAGCCTGGGAGCTTGACCTTTGCAAACAACCTGCTCAGGCACATGTGGCAGAGAGATTTAACCTAGCCAAGTCCTAGGAGCCTTTGATAGCATCTGACGCAAAATCTACATCTTAACTCTTCCTCCGGGGAATGTCCTAAAGTTTGAAAAATGCTCTGCTAGGCAATTTATGGCCTTTTCCCTGTGTACACACAGCCCAGCTCTGCCGAGTTCTCTGCTTGTTGTGAGCGGTGTGTATTATGAACCCGGTAAGGCTGCAAACAGTATAAAATAAAATAGGCTCCAGTATATTAATCAGAGTCAAACACAGCTTCTCTTTAGCTGCAATATGCATGTGGGACCCTTGCACTGTACTTGTGAGACATCTAATAATAGACATTTCCAGAGACCTCACCTCCCTCTAAAGGACTTTGGTAGTAAATTTGCTTTAATTTTGAAAAGGGTAGGGAGGCACATATTTTGCCCTGGTGAGTTGACCCTGTTGGCAGCTCTCTGGGAATCTGAGGGCTCCCCCTAACTGGTGTGAAATAGTGCAGAATGCAGCATTCTGTCCTCACTCCTGTGGAAGGGTGCCCAGAAGAGACTGTGAGTTCCTGCCTGCAGCACTCCATCTTGAATTGAGCAAATGGGCATCCCAGTCTGCCACCTTGGCAAACCACCTCTCCCTATGAGTGACAGGGCCATGCTGGAGAACACCTTTCCTGGGCTGTTCTCTGGCCACCCTGGTGTTCAGAGCAGCCGCTTCCTAGGTACTGATCAGGGTGTATTATAGATTTGAGGTAGGATGGAAATGAATCCATGCCAGTGACAATGGCCTAATCACGGTGTCCCAGGTGGAAGGGAAAGGGCCTTTTTCTGCAGAACCCTGACATTCATCCAGGGCAGCTTAACAGACGTTTTGATCTCCATCTCAGTTAGATGAAACCACTGTATAAATCAGGTCTGACAGCCTCACACATGCTTTCCTATAACAGGGCGAACGGTAACAGTTCCCTGGGATTGAATGAATTACTACAGGCCAGGAAAGTTTGACATGCTTTCTTCCTCTTCTCTTTATACAGAATCAGGCTGTATTTTTTGAACTGTGTTGAGATTTGTTGCTATATTTCACACAGCGTTGGCTTTACCAGACAGTGCAGTACATAGAGTATGGGGACTCCATGCACAGCCAGCTTTGCACGTAGAGTTGACTGGGCCCACCAAATTAGACATGCAGCCCGTTTTATTGCATAACCTTGGCATTTGCACAGCTCTGACATGCGCACACCTACAGATCTGTGCACACAAACAGGACAGGAGGGAGTGCCCCGATTTGCAGATGCACATGCGGACATGGGTGTGCAAAACAGAAGCTGGGACTGAAAATTTGGCCTATACTGTGCAGGGGGAAATGGCTTACCTGTGGGATCTGTAGAAGTTCCATTGCTTGAGACATTGAAGACTGGACTCAGGCATGCACATGAGAGCATACTGTCCCCTGGGATAGGCCAGATGGACCCCAATAGTGCTTCTTCGGGGGGGCATGGATCAGTGTTCATGTCACACTCTGTCAGTACCTGGCCCAAGCCAGGGAAGTTAATGATCCAACCAGTGGACCAAATTCGGTGATGAATCCTGGCCATATGCCACCTGAGGCACGTTGCACATACACTTCCTCAGCTCTAACTTCAATGATTCTATGACACCACTGGATTTCTACAGAGCATGTCTAAGGTGCCCAGTCATCCTAAGTACCCGGGGGTGCATTACATAAATTAACAGTGCTTCAAAATCTCAATGAAGGAGCTACATCCTCGCCTTCCTCCAATCAGCCGGAATCACAATGACTTGAGAAGGGAACAGGTACGGGTGGATATTGGTGCAGAGGTTTCAGAAACCCATTTAAGCAAAGGCACGCACAAAACGCTGGCTGTCGCCCTACAGATGGCAGCAGAAGTGAATCTCACTGCAGTGGGCCATCCAAGGAGGCTCTGTCTCCAGCTCCCACCAGTTGATCCCGAAGGCTATGCAATATCACATGCCTCCAACTAATGGGCAATAATACAGGCCTTTCAATATGGCAGAGGTAGCCAAAGTGCAGCCTCCAGCTACATGTGTTCCACGGAACTTTACAATGCATCTCACAACCATCCTTGGCTTCTCCATGGAAGATGTGGCCCATGTAGCCCACATTTCCCAGCATGCACTACTCCATCTTGATCTCACCCGCATAGTCCCACTAGATGCTGGGACCTGTAGTCTTCAATGGCCTGCATCTCAGAATGAAAGATGAGGGCAGCTTCATTCTGCACATGTTGGGTTCTGGGTAAGAGACCACTGGGTGCAACCAGACATTGGGCAAAGTCGAAGGACCCCTGCAAGATAGGATGATCTGAGCCCTACCAGAATCAATGATGACATCTCTGCTTGGACTGGAACCAGCTAGTCTGGAGGAAGATGGTAGTAAATGGCTGAGATTGGACTGGAGTGAAAACAGGAACAGAAATTAAGTGGGGAAGAGGGCCCCTAACAAACCCACAGCCCCACTTAAGTTAAACAGCAGCCAGGAGGAAGGAGCATGGGACATGGAGCCTAATGATGCCCCAAAAGTGGCTCTGATGTGTGAAGGAAATGCAGCCCTCCTTTCCAGCCCCCCAAATCCTCCTGTCTGACTCTGTCTAATGAAATCGTCCCCTGAGACTTTTTCCGGCATCTGCTCTGGTGAAAAGAGAATCCAGCTGCCTGGCACTCCTGGGGAGTAGACGGAGAGCACCAGTGACGTGTGGTGGATGGGCTGCTGACACAACACACTCCTGTTTGCTCCTTGCACAGCGGATGGAATAAAGAGGTAGCCAGTGAGGCAGCAGAAAAACCTTCCCCCATGATCTTTTCCTCGGGGCTAATGTCATATTTCGAATGCATCCTCCAGATCAGCTCCAGACACAAAGGAAATGTCTCTGGAAACCTCCTTGCAGCTGAGTTTAGTATCTAAACCAGAGTGTTCAGCGTGTGGCCAGAGAGGCAAACAGAGCCCACAAACCCTATATAATGCAGCCTGAAGCACTCAGTCGCTGCAAACACTGGGTGAGATTAAGACTAATCGGCTGCAGGTTTTTCCTTGCTGGTGATCTCAAGCAGCAGGAAGATGCAAGTCCCAGCAAAGACTGTGCTTGGCATTTTGATGATAAATGGGTACCTAAACACACAGTCACAATTAAGCCTTAGCCCCCAGCCAATGTGGCCCTCCTTATCTCCAGAGTTGGGCACTACTCCTGCTCTCCTTTGAAATCCCCCATGGATGAGAGCTGTGAGCAGGGAAGCAACGCTGCATCCAGCTTCATTAGAACCATCCAGTGGCTTTTTTGTTTCAGTGTGCCCAGCTCTAGATTGGAGCTGCCTGTTTTGTAATATGAACTAGCCCTCCTTGGGCATTGGTGGTGCTGCTGTTTATTGGTGAGACCATATTTTTCAGCCCCCGGTCTCTGAAGTGAGGGACAGTGACCCCTCAACATGAGCAACAGTGAGGCAAGAAGTGAACAGATTGGAGGCATGAATTGGGCAAGCTGGGGACATGGACTGGGCAGACTAGCAGAAGCAGCCACCAGAGTATTTGTAAGTCGATTTGGCATACAAAGAAAATACTGATACATAGTTGGGTGGGGGTATTAGTGTTTTCTTTAAAGAGTTCCCCCTCCAACCGCCTAGGGAGCAAACGCCCATCTGACACTGTGAAAGGCAAACTTTTGCATTTGAGAAAATAGTTTTGTGTCTCCCAGTTTGACATTTGACAGATTGAATGGGTTGGAGAGAGTGTACCAGCTGCAGCTCCCACTGCCATAAAGTGAGCTAATGGTGAAAGAATCCTATGCTCAGAGACAGTTACAGGTTTTTTCTTGGGTGTAGATTGCAAGTGCTGCTTAATCAGCACTCTGATAGACAATTTAAATTCCAGGAACTGGTAGGGTTTTGTGTCCCTGCCAGGCGTAATATCCTGCAGCCTAGACTGTCCTGTCTGCCAAAGCATACGGTATCTGCAGAGAGGACCTCACGAAGAGCCAAAACGCACACGCATTCAACTGGATTCAGCAGCCACTCCAATGAATTCTCAGTTTAATGAGCATGGAGGGAAAGAAAGAGAGGAGATAAATCACTGGGTGAACAGCATTGTCTCAGACGAGATGTGCACCAATGGTTTAAATGCTGACACACATAGCAACTCGCTACATAATAATACACAGTGGAGTCTGAAGATGTTCTCTCTCTTTCTCTCTCCATCCAGTTGTCTAATGACTTTATGAGCAACTGATCCCCATGCCACCCAAGGGCCAGATTGTGACATGGCACTGTGGGATTGCCAGGGAGGCTCCGTCTCAGGCATCCTCTTAGACCAAAACTGCCCTGGTGTCAGAGGATGAGCTCAGTGGAGTGGATCTGCCCACACCAGGGCTGAATTTGGCCCCTCTCCTCAAAGTGAAGAACCGCCAGTGAAAGGTCTCGGTGCCAGTTCTGGAAAATGTATATCTCCAAAGCATGTAAAACCTCAGCCACAGCAGCTCCGGCTTCCCCCACTAATGTGGCCGTAGGGCTATGGAGGGAACTTGGGCTCCAAGGCCCATTCACTTCATAGCTCTGCTCTGCTCTGACAACACGAGTACAGAGGAGGTGGCAGTTCTGAGATGTTGCTTCCTGTCTCACTAGGAACCAGATGACGGAGACTTGCCCACTCATTTCAGGCAGGTCACTAAGCAGCCACCAGGTCAGAGCATCTTCCAGTCACTACCACTCTGGACTAGGCTTGTTCCTCCAGAATTTCTGGGGTACGTCTTCTAAGTGGGCAGTTCCATGCACATTTGTTTAAATGCTGCCCTGTGGCAGCTGGAAGCTCGAGAGACCCTTACTAGGAACCTGATCTAAAGCCCAATCAAATCAATGGAAATTATTATTATTCTTCCTTTGGATTATGGTATCACTGAAGAACACCAATCAAGGAAATAGGCCCCTGGTGCTAGGCACTGCACAGACAAATAACAAAGGCAAC